AGAAGAGCAGCGAGGAGGGCTGGGCTTGTGGCTCAGAGGTAGAGCGCTCGCCTCACACACGGGAGGCACTGGGTTTGACCAGCACCACGTAAAAATAAAATAAAGGCATTGAGTCCACCTGCAACTAAAAAATAAACATTAAAAAAAAAAAAAGAGCAGGGAGGAGGGGTCGCGCGAAGGACTCGGGAAAAACACTCTTAGCTGAGGAAAAGCAGGCCAAAGGGGCTGGCCGGGGAGTGAGGCCTGCTGGGAACGTGAGCGCTTCACACGGTCCCACTGTGACACCCGTCCCACTGGATGCTGGGGCCACATCCACCTGGCTCCGGCCTGTGTGACCTGCGGGAGGAGACCCGCCGTTTTCAGCTCTGCTGCTGCAGGTGGGCTGTGGCCAGACAAGGGGGTGAAGGAGCAGAGTCCAGGAAACATGGCCCGACGTGGGCCACCTGCCAGCATGAGGCTTCAACAACCAGTTCTCTGGCAACGTCCTGTCCAGAGGGCCCGAAAGTGAGCCCTCCAGGGAGGCCAAGATCACATATCCCACTGGGATCATCCTCCGGGGACTCCTGGGTATACGGCCTGCACCTGCCGAGTCCACGAGGGCTGCCGTTCCACCAACCCCAGCAATGATTAACTTATACAGGAGCGGAAGTACCCGAGCTATCCTACCATGACAAGTGACCTCCAGGAGCTCACACCTGAAGAGCCAAGGTGGCACTACAGGTCAAGCAGGGCCCAGGTTGGGCCCAGGTGAGCAGAGCTGCCCCCCTCCCAGCCCCCACTGCACAGACTGCAAAAGGGCCCCGGGCTAAGAGGCGGCTGCAGAGCTGGAAGGCTGCTGCGGAGGGCTCAGCTACTGGCCTGCTGTGACCCGGGCAAGGTGCCCAGGCTGCTTCCACCTCTGTAAGAGGATCAGTAGTAAGAGCCTCCCAGGGCCATGTGACCACAAAATGAGCAAACGCTTAGACTGCAGCAAGCTCGCAGCGGCCACTAACAAACCAGGTATTTGGTGATGGTGTCACCATCTCTCCCCACAAGAAGGGGCAATGTAGGACTCACAGGCCTTAGGGAGTGTGACCTGAGGAGTGAGACTCAGGTCCCGACTCCATCCCCATCCCAGGGCAGCTCCTGACAGCTGAAAGCAGCAACAGCAGGACAGGACACCTCCACGTGAGACTGACACAGGACCTCCATGTGACTTCAACACTGAAGCTACTTTGGAGAGGGCCCAAAGCCCTCCAGAGAAATCCAGGAGACATCTAGGAGGCAGAACCCCACTCCTTGGAAGCACAGCGGGTGGAGCAGGCCTTCCCTGCAAACTGCAAGGTGTTCAGGGGGTCAGGAGGGTGCCAGTGACACGCCCCCCAGCATGTCCCCCAAGGGTTCATATGCTTGACACCTCCCTGACGCGGGGGTATTAAGTGGTGCTCGAGTCTTGAAGTGGCAGGTAATTAGTCACTGGAGTCACCGCCCTTAGAAGGGCTTAATGCTGGCCTTGCAGTTATTCTCCTGAGTGGGTTGTTATAAAAAGAACAAGATGGGCCACTCTGTGGCTTCCTGTCTCACCATGTGATCTCTCCCATGCACTCCTACCATGATGCCACCCGTCACCTCATGACACAACCAAAGGGCCCTCATACAGGTCACAACAGGGCTGCCCAATCTTAGTGCCCAAAACGGTGGCTACATAAGCCTCTGTGTGCACAGTAGCCAGCTGGGTATTCTATTATAGCAAAAGAGCCCGGACTGATACACCACTCATCAAGCCCCCCAGGGCTCGGCTCAGTGTGTGCCCTGACCCTTTCCTCCAAGTCCCCAAGATAGCCCCACTGCCAGGTCATACTCTTGGCCTTGGCATTACCATGTCTGCGATTCTTCATTATCCTGAACTTCTGCAGCCCATCTGCAGCCTCCACCCACTGCTTCCTGCTTCTTGGTCCACCCCCTATTCCCTGAATCCAACTGCTGTCCACCCTCTGGAAGAGGGGACAGCACATGGTGTCCTTGGGAAGTACAGTTAAAGGTGAATAAATACATCACTGTCCTTCATCCACAAATCTGCTGGGTGCTGGGGATACCAAGGAACACAAGACAGTCCCCCCAGGGCAGGGATGGTGCCTACACAGTAGAAGCACCTGCCATGGGAGGGCAAGCAAAGGGAGGGCACAGTGAGAACTAGAGCAAAGGTCATCAGCACAAGGTGGCAGAGCTGAGAGCGATGAGCAGAAGCCTGCTCACAGGGCCTCGCAGCCAGGCTGGGCCTCTGATATGCCACCAAACAAGAAGCCGTGAGGGTTAAGCAGAGGAGGGGCACAACAGACTGCTCTCCCCAAAGATAACTCAGCAGGCTGGCAGGGGACAGAAGGACAGCAAGACCACAGCCACAGTGACAGGTTGGAAGGCTGGGTGCAGCGGGGGCCCACCTGTGCCATGACCGTGGCCTGGAAGAGCTGGCAGCAAAGTGGAAGGCCGGGCTTTAGGTTTGCACGCGGCTATCTGGGACCCAGGCTACACCTCTCGGCCTCCCAGCAATGAGCTGTGCTGGACACTCAGTTCAAACAGAAGGTATGTGTGCAACTTCCAAGAACTGTCCCTAAAGAGAGACTGGCCCGGCATGGAGGCGCACACCTGTAATCCCAGCTACTCAGAAGCTAAGGCAGGAAGATCACAAGTTTGAGATCTGCCTGGGCATCTTATTTTGAGATCTCATTTCAAATAAAAAATAAAAAGGACTGGGAGTGTAGCTCAGTGGTAAAGACCCCTGGGTTCAATTTCCAGTACAAAAAAAAAATTTAGATAAAAGAGAGAGAATATCCTTCTGCCTTCCTCGGCAAGAAAAGTAGACATGACGGTGGATCTGGTACAGCCAGATAGGACCATAGGTGACAGAGAATAAACGGAGGCCTCACATAGTTGAAAGAAGAGAGCCCAGCGCTTGTCCGGCATGGCTGCCACTTGGAGGGGACCACAGGTCTACCCTGGCTGGCCCCCATCACGCTGGGCTTCCTGTCACTCATCGGAACCCAGGTGTAACCGCCAGTGGAGCAGGAGCACACTCAATCCCACCCAGGAACAGCCTGTCCGAGCCCAGTAATGACCTGGATCTGGGGGTGAAGGAGCCCCGAGAACCAAGGACCAAGCAGGGTTTCTGGATCACACAACCACAGAACAGGGTGGGGCTGCCATTGGCTGAGATGGAGCAGGTGGCAAGGAGGAGACAGAAGACCCCAGAGCCAAGCGAGGCACGCCTGGAGACTGCGCACTCAGCTTGAAGCTGGCCAATGCTCCTTAGTCCATCTAAAACATGAAGCGACACGGCGGCATGGAGAGAGGACTGGCTTAGGAAAGGAAGACACAGGCTCTGCCTCCTCACTGCAGCCTGCGCCACCCCGGGTGTGTCACTTCCCACCAGCCTCGGTTTCCCCACCCATATGAGGGGTGGCCGCCTTCCTGGCCTACCTCAGTAGGTAACAAGGGAACCCATTCTGGAAACTATCAAGGAGACCTGATGAAGAGCAGGGGTCTGGGGGTGGCTCAGTGGGAGAGCACATGCCTAGCAAGTGGGGACCCTGGGTTCCATCCCCAGCACTGAAAGAAGAAACAAAAAAAGAAGAAGTACAGACGATTTATCAGTGTGGCCAATACGCTGCCGATGAGGGCTTTGATCCCCCTGGGAAGGAGGAGTGCCGAGGACAGAGCTCAGGGTCACCGGGGCAAGTCTGCACTCCTGGGGAAGAGTCCTCACAACCCACAGAACTTGCACATGGAGACGGTGGGGTCTCCAGGGCAGGTCCCAGTGGTCCCCTGCGGAGTGGCCTCGCTGCCCTGCTCTGCTGTGTCTTCTCGGCACCCGCAGCTGCACTGTCCTCGGCCTTGATCACGGCCAGCCAGAAGGTGCCACCCCAGCCGTGTGCACTCAGCATCTGGACGGCACTGCTGCCAGCATCTGGAACAGCATCTACTGTGGGGACCTCCACCCCAGCTTCCCTGTGGAGCCAGGTCTGAATTTTCACCTGATTGGGCGGAGCCATGATACTGGCCTTGTTCTCCTGGCAGCTGGCCCCTGGCCCCCAGCTGGCCACTCTCTGAGGCTCCTGATGCTGCGCCTCCTCAACCAGAATGGACCCAGATGTCCCTGGGCCTCACTTCTCACCAGAGCCTGGGAGTCAGACAAGGGCCCTGCCTACGGCTCAGCCCTGTGCACCTCCCAGGTCTAGAATTGCCTTTGTGCAGGACAAACTCCTCCTGTCCTTCCAGAGCAGCTGGGGGCTCTAGCCGGCTCACCAGGAAGTAGTCACTTCCTTCCCACCACTCCCTGGGCTCAACCCGACAGGAAGTGCGTTGCTCCCAAGGGTGTCCTGGTGCCTGTGCCAGGAGGCCCTGCTCTGCACATTCCCTAAAGACATGTTTGTCACCCCCCCGTTCCCGTGGGACCTGGGCTCAGCCCAGACTCCGCAGATGCTCAGTGCATGCCGAAGGGATGGGTGCGGACAGTCAGAGGGACAAACAGGCAGAAAGGAGATATCAGCATGAGCCCACCTCCACAATGGCCCCTGCACTCAGAGGCCTGGCTTATGCCATCCCTGGCCCCATGACCTCAGCCTTGGGCTGTCCTGCCCTCCCAGCTAGGGAGTCGTCCCAACATGCCTGAGAAGGGACATCTCTGGCCATCCCTTACAGGCTCCTGAACAAATCCTGGCCAGCCCCTACAAGGATGGTCACGCCTATAAAGGCCCAGGGGTAAAGGTCACGCTGATGGACCTCACCTGCCTCTCCCACCCCACCCCTTCCCTTGATCAGCAAGGGCCAGGCCTCCGGACAGGAAATACCCAGGCTTCCCTCCCAGTGCCCAGAGTGTGCAAAGAGGGAAGCCTCCCTCATCCCCAGATCCAGTCTCCCCTGCCCCTCCGCTCCCTCAGCTGGAGACCCAAATAAGCGGCTTCCCCGCATGCAGAGCACCAGAAAGGAGAGGTGTGGGTGGTGCTCTGCCCATCATCACCCACCGGAAGCCACTATGCGAGTTCCTTGGGTTGACCAGGATGCAGTCCCAGGTGCGACTGGGAGTGTTCTGGAAAAGGACCAGCTGCCCTTCTTCCCGAACCCGGTTACTTGAGGCGTAGTCCGCCACTGCCACCTCCTTCACCCGGAATGGGTTAGAGAACAGGTTGGTGACGCTGGTGAGGGTATTGACCAGGCGGCCGAAGAACTGCATCTTCTGTGGGGCAGGTGGGGAGGCCCTGCTGCCTGCCCCCTCAGTCTGGAAGAAAACAGGGTCTCCAGTCAGCTGGGCTCCGTCTCCCATGCCCACCTCACCAACGCAGCCGGCTCCTGCACAGGCACCTGTGGCCCCCACCAGGCTGTCCCTTGAGTCTGGGCCTGCAGGGACCTGAAAAGGAGGGGAGAGAGAGGAAAACAGAACTGAGCGGGAAGTCAGAGGTCTAACAGGAAGCCCTGCAGCCCCCAGGGCCCAGCTGGAGACCCAGATGCAGAGACCTTAACCTCCCGCTCCCTGACCCAGTGTCCCTGACAGACTCAGTTTCCTCATCGGTGGTCAAGTGGGACAGCAGGTGGGAACACATGCTGTCGGCAGGAAGGCCCTGGGCGAGCAAGGGCTTCTCACTCCCACAAATTATGGAAACAATTTTTTGGCAAAGAGCTCAGCATTTCAATTCCAGAAGCAAACTCAGATCCCTTCCCCACTAGACACCACGGGGATCAGGCCTCACCACTCTGCCTTGGGGGGAAGGGGCCTGGGCATGCGAGCGTCCATCGCATTCCTTTGCTTCCTGCCGGCACTGGCTTCCCAAAGAGCTCTGGGGAAGGGGGCCAGGAATGAGATCCTTGTTCAAGTTTTCAATTGCCACAGTTTCAGTGACTGTAGTCAAAACATATGATGTGGAAAATTCCAGAATGAAATTATTTCTAAATTATAACTTGCATGCTGTTGTCAGTGGCAAGATGAAATTTCATGCCATCCAGCTAGGTCCCAACCAGGGGATAAATTCATTCCTTTGTCCAGCATATACATTACCCACCCAATAAGTCACTTAGTAGCCATCTCAGTTGCCAGATCAGTGGTCACTGTACTGCACTGCTGTGTTCAAGTGATCCTGTATTGCTTAATGATGGCCTTAAGGTTCATGAGTAATAATACTGGAAATTTGGAAATGCCAAAGAGAAGCCCTGAAATGCTGGATATATAGTTTTTAGTACTATCCTTGGTTTCAGGCATCTACTGGGGTTCTTGGAATGAATCCCCTGTTGAATAAGAGAAGACTACTGTAATTGCATTAGAGATGTTTACTGACCACTTACTGTGCAGTAATTCCTGATTTAAGTACTTTATGTGATTGCTTCATTTATGTATTACAAAACCATACAAGGCAGATACACTAAAAAACACAGTGCAGGTCTAGAATCTGGCTGAGTTCAAGTTCTGAACTTACCACTTAGCTGCATGACCTTAGGTAGGTTACTTAACCCCTGTCTCAGTTTCCTCATCTGTCTCACAGAACCTTAATAACAGCGCCTAGCAATAGCACACAGCAGATAGTAAATATTCAATGAACATTAGCTATCTTTTCACAGATAAGAAAACTAAGGCTCAGGGCACCATGAACGCAGGACTCTGAAAACATCGAAGCTTTGCAACGTCTTTCCCTCTATGATTAGTAGCAGGGCGCAGCGTGGGAAGGCAGCCTCAGTTTTCTCCTTTCAAATGGGGACAAGCCACAGTGTGAGGACTGAAGGAGAATGTGAGAACACTCAGACCTGCCACGTTTCCTTCTCTCTCCCATACTTGGGGGCTTTAAGGACAGAGAAGCTGGAGAGATTGTGTCCCTCTCCACAGCCAGGGAAGGCATAGGAATTGGTCCCAGGAACCCCCCACCCAAAATAGAACCAAAATGTATCCCGGCACGCACATCGCCATGCCTCGACACCCATGTACAATGGTGAACGTGGCTACGTTCACTCAGGCAGTACCACGTGGCCACTAAAAGCTGTGACTACCAAGTGTGGCCACTCGGGAGAAACTTGGTGACACGAGTCCACACCGCTGCCTGTGCTGCTCCCGTGAGCCGCAGGGGGCTGGTAGCCTCTGCCGCCCGTGCAGCCCCCCACCCCCAGCTCAGGCTCTCCAGCCGCAGCTCCGGGCCTCGCACCCTCCACTCCAAACCTCATGCATCTGGAGAGGAAAGCCCCGAGCACTCCGGCCGCCTGCCTGGCTGTGGCCATCTGGAAAGGGTCCACCCTCTCCTTTTCTGTGTGGAAGGGCCCGCTGCTGTTCAGGTCCAGGCTCAGCTCTCACATGCTCCCTGAACTGCTCTGCACACGCCTCCCCAGCTGCTTGATGCTGCCACCTCAGGGCTGGGGGTACAGCTCAGTGACGGCACATGCTCAGTATGGGGGAGGCCCTGGGTCCCATCTCCACCACCACAAAAGTCAAAAAACTCTCCACTCCTCTGCCCCAGTGCATCCTAAGTGTCCCCGCCAGAGGATAAGCTTCAAACCAGTCACCCCCCCACACTACCCAGCCCCTCCCTGCGCCGTCCCCTCCATATTCTCCCCATCTCCCCCGCAGGACACCCGACCAAACAGTTACGTCCTCATCCTCATTTCACATGGGATTCAGCCACAGAAAGGTTAAGTGATGTGCCTGAGGTCACACAGCTAGTAGCAGAGGACAGAGGACTGGAGGCCCTGCTGGCTCCAGAGCCCAAGCTCTCCTCACCTCTACGCTCACCCCAGCTCACGGCAAGTTTGACAGGATTTAACTGAGAAGAAAATAATACCAAGATAGAAAACACCAGAATACCAACACAGAGGACGGCGCGGGGCTTACGGCGGTCTTCCGCTTTCCCGTGTTCTCCCAATGGTGTGCGAGTGATTAGACGTTTCTAAAGAAAGCAGGAGTGGGGGCCAGTGGGGTCAGGGTGGCTTAGAACAGGGCAGACAGGCGTCCGGGCAGCAGGCCCAGGCACGCGGGGGACCCCCAGGAGGGGAGGGCATCAGGAGCACTGGCAGCCAGGGCCACTGGGGCCAAGGCAGAAGCTGACCAGTGGGCTCCAGCTGCCTCAGAAACGACCCCCAGCCCAGAGGAGGCCCTGCCTCGGTGTCCCAGCCCAGGCCCCAGCGCCAGGGCTGGCGGGGCACCCCCACAGGCTGACGGCAGTGCGGCCACAAAAAGGATGGCCTGGCTCCCACCCAGCCTCCTGGGGTTGGCGCGAGGATGAAGTGACGCAGTGGAGGGAAGGGTCCAGGACACTGGCCACTGCACACAGAAACGGCAGCCACCGTCATCACTAGGTGGAGAAAGGAAATGGAAACCACCGGCCACATCCTGGCACCGTCCTGGCCAGGAGGGCGGCCAGTGGGGGGAAGGCAGGCACGTGCCTCCTCATTCCTGTCCTCTTCCTCTGTCCCCCACTCAGAGCCCAGGGCCATGCTCCTCCCCACCCAGCTGCAGGTGGCAGGAGGCGGGGCGGCGGAGCCGGCAGCCACTGGGGACCTGGGGCCTGTACTGGAGGCTGTCCCTGCACGGCCTCCTCTTCACTTCCTCCCGCTTCTCCAGCCTCTACCCTTCATCTTCCTGAGTGTAAACATCTGCTTTAACCCATAACAATGGTCCCTCCTGCCATCCCTCCTGCCACCCACCTGGGCTGGCTCCCTGCACACCACTGGCCCACCACCATGCGGGTCCTGCGACGCGCTCCTGGGACGCGCCCAGCAGACAAACAAAACCCAGGACCAGTGATGGCAGTGACGGCCACTCCAGGGGCCAGTCTTGTCTCCCCGGGTTGAGGCCAGATATCAGTGGCCTTTCTCCTTGTCTCTGCTCACCAGTCCCTTGTCCCAGGCCCAGCACACCCGCCCGGTTTGTTCAGGGAAAACTGACGGCATCTGCAGGGGCCGAGGCTCTCTGGCTTCCCCCTGAGAGAAGAGGCCAGAGAGGCCTCGAGCTGTCAGTGTCCAAAGAGCAACTGGAGTGGGGCATGCAGACTCCCACCCAAAAGGAAACACGGACAAAAGGCGCAGCGGTGCACGCCCGGACTCCAGGGACTCGGACGCTGAGGCAGGAGGATCACAGGGAGGCCCTGGGTTCAAAATCCCCAGAAGTGCAACAGAATGACATAAAGTGAAGGATCCCTTCTTGTCCTTCAAGGCTCAGTTCGGGAGCCCTCCCGGCCTCCCCTCAGCAGCCCAGTCACAGCACACAGCCCAGGGGGCACTTACCAAGGGACAATGATGGTGCCCCTGAGGGCTTCTTGATTTGTGACTTACAATGCGGGTCTAATGAATGTCGCAAGAATGAATGGCTGAAACCTAAAGAACCTGGCAAGCCCACCAGCTGGGCACCCAGGAGGTCCTTGGAGGGGATGTGGAGACCACCCCTCACCCCCACAGCACTGCCAGCTCTTCACTGAGAGGAGCTCAGCCCCCCACCCAGAGAACCCTCCTCCAGCACCTGCTGAGCTTTAGGAGGGGCACTCAGTGCCAGGCGGGTCCCTCTCTGAGCCCTGGTCTGGAAAGTTCAGCTTCACAGACGCTGGTCAGGGTGCCTACAGCCGAGCCCACTCCTACTCCAAGCAGGAAAACTCTCCAGGCCCCAGGCTTCCGCAAGAGTGGGACAGCTGCCCAGGAGGTGACAGGAGCCCAGAGGCACCCGGCCCAGAGCAGGCCTCACAAGACAGGCCACGTGGGGGTTCTAGGAGCATACAGAACTGCTAGGGTGAAAATCAGGCCACAAGAGTCCTGGCCACTTACAGCAGGATGTCCCATGATTGGAATAACTGCTGGTTGGTCCTGGCAGCAGGACAGTGACACCCCCCCCGAACCACCAACACCTCCTGCCCCCCTCATGACAAAGCCAATGGAGGACACAAGGTCTGATCAGAGCACCAGCTTGCAGTCACCCCCGGCTTCCTTCCTCCCACACAGGAGCACGCCCCACTCGCGGGACCCCATCCTCTAACAGGTGGCCACATTTTATGGAGAGCGAAGGGATCCCACATCTGTTAGTGGACTCTGAGCTCACGAAGAAACCTGGAAGCTGCCCAGAGACAGGAAGTGGGGGTTCTGATGCGGCTGGGTCCTGCACGGCAGGAGGCAAAGGGCCTGTCACAGGGCAGGTGTGCAGTTCAGAGGGAAGGCTAGCTGAGGTCAAAGGTCACATCTACCTGCCACCACACCCTGCACCTCAAAGGCTGCACCCACCAGAAGGTCCCTCCAGCCCTTCACCCTGGCTCCAGCTCCAACCTCTTTGCTAAGTGAGCGAGGAAGGGAAAGGGCTCAGTCCTGTCACCTTCCACCCCCAGCAGCACTGCCACCTTCATCCACTGAGTGCCAGACGCCTCAGGAGATGAATCACCATCTTAATTCTCAGAACACCCCAAGAGAAGGCAGGTCTCCCCGTGTCTCACGAGGCACTGAGGCTCAAGCAGACCAGGTAACTGCCAGGATCTGAACCCAATTTGCTGGAATCCAGAGCAGCAGCACTTAGTGCCCAAACCACCTTCAGGAAGAAGCTGGCCGGAAATGCTGGCCGAGGCTGGATTTTGCCTCCTGGACTCCCAAAGCCAAGGTCCTCACCTAAAACGCGCTCACAGGAGCCAGGTTAAAGTGCCCTTGAAAAGGGAAAAGGTGCTGGGCCTGGTGGCACAGCCTGTAATCCCAGTGGTTGAGGAGGCTGAGGCAGGAGGATAACAAGTTCAAAGCCAGCCTCAGCAACTTAGTGAGGGCCTGTATCTAAATAAAAATAAAAAGGGCTGGGTTCAAAAAGCACCGTGGGTTCAATCCCCAGTACCAATAAACAAACAAACAAATAAAGGGGAAAAGGCATCTTTCTCATTCACTCTGCTTGGCCAGAGCACAGCTAGAGCCAAATGTCCAGAGGACTGCAGGAGGCCCCAAGAGAGTGACACAGGAAAAATCTGAAAGCCCCTGAAGCTGGTGCAGGTGGCCCATTTTGTGATTCACTCCACAAATATTTATGAGGACCTGCTATGGCAGACACTGTTCTAACTACTGAGGGAACAATAATGAACAGAGAAGAGAAGATCCCCGCCCTACTGGAACTTATATTTCAAAGAGGCCTGCAAATAATAGAGAAGTCAAATAAGGTGTGTGTGTGTGTGTGCGCGCGCACGCGCGCGCGTGCAAACACACAAACTAATTAGGTGCTGAGGAGAAAAATAAACCAAAGAAATTAGAAAGGAAAGGTTGAGGTGGAGACTGAAATTTTAGATATTGGTGTCCAGAGAAGCTCTCACTAAGAACTTGACCCTGGATAAATACCTGAAAGATGAGAGGACAAAGTCATATGGGTACCAGGTGAAAAGCTTTCTTCTAGGCAGAAGTGCAAAGGGCCTGGGGCTGCAGCACGCCTGGTGAGTTCCAGGAACAGCAAGGAAACAAATGGGAAGAATAGGACTAGGCCTATGTAGGGAGTGAAGTCACAGCAGGGCTGGGAGAAAATGAGCGACAATTTAACAGATCACTCTGGCTGGATATGGGGTAGCAGAAAAGAGAGACCCCAAGGATAATCTCACAGCTTTGATCTGGCAACTGAAAGAGTAATGCTGCCAATCCAAAGGTGGGAAAGAGAATGGGAGGGAAGGTTTTGCTCCAGAATGGGGCAGGGGGGAGGGGATGAATACAGTTCGGCTCTGAATACTTCAACTGTGAAATGCCTAAGTTTGAGATGGCGAGTGAGCATCAAGAACTGTGAGTCTATCATCCAGAGAAATGATCTCCCCAGACTAGGAGAGGAATGTGGGGCTGGGGACGTAGTTCAGTGGCAGAGACTTGCATGCACACACCAGGTTCCATCCTCAGCCCTGCAAAGAAGTAAAAAAATAAAAATCGCAGGGCTATTACAGTACAGATGGTACTTTTGAAGCTATGAGACTGGATGAGATCACTTGAAAATGAGGCGACAAAAAAGAGAAGTGGCACTTAACATACAGTGAAGCTGGGAACACTCCCTTCACCATGGCCCTCCCCTACCCACTGCCCTGCACACATGCCCAGAGCAGGTGAGCACACGTGTGAACACGGTTTTAAATTCCCCTTTATCCATTTTTTGATGCTGTCATTCTGTTGAGTGAAAAGTAACATCATTTAATATATAAGTAACCATCCAAGGGAGAGAAAACCTCCCACACACCGGGACAACAGGAGCAACCCGTACACAGCAGGACAATCTGTGTACACAGGCCCTGGCGCCCCACTGGACAGTACAAATGCTCCCTGACTTTTGATGGGGTTTTGCTTCAATAAGCCCATCATAACTTGAAAATATCACAAGTCAAAAATGCATTTTAGGGGTTGGGGTTGTGAACCAGTGGTACAGAGCTTGCCTAGTATGTGTGAGGCACTGGGCTCGATTCTCATCATCACATATAAATGAAATAAAGATCCACTAACAACTAAAACAAATATTTTTTTAAAAAAATGCATTTTTAGGAGCCAGGCATGGTGGCACATGCCTGTAATCCCAGCAGCTTGGGAAGTTAAGGCAGGAGGATCACAAGTTCAAAACCAGCCTCAGCAATTTAGCAAGGCCCTAAGCAACTCAGTGAGACCCTGTCTCGAAACAAAATGGAAAAAAAAAAAAAGTGCCCCGAGTTCAATCCCCAGTACTGCCCCTAAAATAGATAAATTAATAGGCTAGGAATGTGGCTCAGTGGTTAAGCACCCTGGGTTCAATTCCTGGTATGATGTCATCAGACATCATAACTTAGCAACACAGCACACTGGGGAGCGCCCACTGTTTCCCCTCGTGATCCTCTAGCTGACTGGGTATAGCATTGAGAGGACAAAGCCACATGTCCCTAGCCCAAGAAAATACTCAAATTCAAAATTCAAAGTACGGTTTCTACTGAAAGCATTATCGCCTTTGTGTCATCATTCAGTACAAAAAAATCAAGTCAAACCATTGAGAACTGGGGACCATGCACACTGTATTCAGATCCCAGCTCCAACCTAATTAGTATGACCTCAGGCACCTCCTTCACCCTCTTTTCCTCTACCTCTAAATGGGAATAATATGGCTACATGGAGCGTATCCTAAAACACTGGAGTCAAATTAGTATTTGTTCAATGAATAAATGAAATGGTAAAGATTTATAAAAAGCCTGATAAACACTACCAAATGACAAAGGAAAGACATGCACTCATCTTTCTCTTATCATTTCACCTCTATCCATTCCTATTCCATTCTGTCCTGCCTTTGATACAACAGCAATGGCCATACATTTGACCAAGCCACACAGGTTACAATGCTGTGCCTTCTACATTTTCTCAAATATTGAACCATATGGCAGCTTCACGTGGAACTACAGTCCCTTGCCACAGATGAGAAAACTGAGACTTGAACAGAAAATAGCCTCCAAACTTCAGGAACATTTTAAGGCACAGACAATAACAAAAACACTGCACTCAGCCCAAGGGTGGAGTTTCAGTGTTGCCAAACCAAACCTGCCTAACATCCTGTTGGGCTGGTAAAAGGGCAGGTGAGGGGAAGACCCAGAAGCTCAGAGGAAGGGATGGTATTTGTTTGGGGTCATGTGGGTAGCCCATTAAGAAAATGGGCACAGATCCCAAAGCCCTATGCCCTCCCTGTCCCAAACCACACCCTGACCAGTCACATGGTCACCCAGTTCACAAGCTCCCTGTCACCAGCTTCCAGGTCATCTGTGGGAGCTGGAGGTGGACACGGGATTGGAGATTAGGTGGTGGGCAAGCAGGGAGCAGAGGAAATCTAGAGGCACATGAGACAGAAAAAGCGGGGAGAGGGAATTAGAAACGGAAAAAGAAGAAAACACAAAAGAAAGAATGCAGGAGACAAAGACGAACCGGGAAGCCAGTGGGAGAGAGCCGGGAGCACTTCGAAGGGCACGGGAAGGAAGCTGAGGACCACCCAAGGGTCCCAGGGTGGAAGGCGGAGGCTGCGAGGGTTGGGAGGGGAAGATTCTGGAAGTTAGGGTACTGAGGGAAGCACAAGAAGGTGACTGGGACACTGAAGAGGGGTCCAGGGACGAGGCCGGGTCCCTAAAAGAGCACAGTTGGAGATGAGCCAAGAGAGGCCATGGGATGGGAGTTGGGGACGTCGGGGGGAATCAAAGGACAGAAACCAGAGACACTCAGACGGTCGCACAAGGATCAGTGGAGGACGTGCCTCAGAATCGGAGACACCAGGATGGTCCAAAGCAGGGTCCGAGTGGAGACATCGGAGCCGCGGGTGCGGAGATTAGGGGAGGCCCCGGGGCCCCGCCCCGCTGCGCCGTCACTCACCTCGGCTTACTCAGCACTCTGCCGCCTCCTACTTCCGCAAACAAACGCGCGCCGCACCACGTGACGGCCCGACCTCGGCTCTCCGCCAATCATCAGAGCCCATGGCCCGGGTCGCCGCCGAAGCTCCGCCCCCGCCCTGCGAGCCCCGCGCACGAGGACGGGCGGGGGCGGGGCTCCGCCATCTTGAATAACTGCCCAATGGAAGGGGCTCTCGTAGCCGAGGGAGGACGTGCTCTCGGCAGGAGCCAATTCTCCGCTGCCGGGCGCGGCCATGTCTGTGCCGGGCGGAAGGTCCCTGTGAGGGCTAGTTGAGAGACA